TAGCAATGATCTGGATTTATAGTAGTTGTTTCTTTGAAGAGTGGTGGTCTCTCCACAGTTAGCAATGAGCTTTTTCTCAGCTTTGCCTGGAAATATGCTATACTCAGCAAACAAAGAGACAGACAGGAAAGAACGATCACTATTCTCCTAGTTATGCTGTTTATATGTAAGTACTTAATTCTGCTATATGCAGACACAGAATGGTCTGAGTTAGAGATGTTGGTGGATTTGTGCAATTCCCAGCACCTGGAAACAACCAAAACACTTCTGCTTTTGTCCCAAACAAAAAAGTAGGGAGCCAAGAGTTAGACACGGATGACTGAAAATGCCTTTGTTTTTTTGCACAGCCAACAGTTAGAATGTAGGTCTCTGTTTTCACACTCCCCTGATCTGTGCTGTGGTCAGCCTCCTCATTGCATTGAACAGTTCTGTGTCTGCTTACCAAGTGCCCTTGGAATGACTTTGTTTAAATATCCACAAGGCTGAGGTGAAAATCTGGAGAAAGTAAGACGTACTCTTGATGGAAGACAACCAGGCTGTGGAATACTTAATGAAAGGACATTGTCTGTAGACCCTGAGCAACGCATCCACAAGTGCTGACAAAGCTCTGCGATATCATTGCAAAGCTGCTATTGATTATCTTGAATGATCATGGCAACAGAGAGAGACTTGTGAGAACTGGAGGAAAACAGTCTCGAAAGAGGGCAAGTAGGAGGACCCAGAAAAGCATAGGCTTGTCAGCCTCACCTTAGTCTCTGGAAAGGTCAACTAATTCAGGAAAGTATTCTTTCTTGGAAAGAAAGTGATACTTATTAGTGATCATGAATTTACAAACAGGAAGTCCTGCTTAACTGGCTTGATGATCTTCTATGATGGAAGGACTGGTTTGGCAAATGAGAAGACAACTCATTGTGGATATTGTCTACCTGGATCTCACTAACACTTTTGATGCTGTCTCCTCAGACAAAACATGAAATTTGGGCTGGATGAGTGGACAGTGAGATTGCACTGAAAATTGTCCGAGTGACTGGGTGGTGATGAGTGGCACAAAGTCTGGCTGGAGTCTAGTAGTAGTGTATCCCACAGATCAATATTGGGTCAAATACCGTTTCAGCATTTTCATTAGTGATTTGCATGATAGAGTAGAGTGTGCAAGTTTGCACATGATACAAATCTGAGAGAACTGGCAGAAGCACTGGAGTGTCATGCTGCCATCCAGAGGGACCTTGTCTTCATGCAGCTCAGCAAAGGGAAGTACAAATTCTGGCACCTGGGAAAGAATAATGTCATAAACTAGTACTTGTTGTAGGTCAAACAGATGGAAATCAGCTTTTCAGAAAAGAAACTGGGTTTCCTGATAGACACCAAGGTGAACATGAGCTAGAAATGTGTCTGCTTTTTCTGCAATGAAAGCTAGTGGTATGGTGAGCTGCATTAGGAAAATATTGTCAGAAGGCTGAAAGAGGCAACACTCTGCTCTGGTGAGGTTGCACCCGGAGCACAGAGTCCAGGTCCAGGTCCCCCAGTACAAGAGAGACATGAAGGCAATTAAGAGTGTCCACAAAGGGCATCAATAATGAAAGGGCTGGAGCATCTCGTCTATGAACAGAAGCTGAGATAGTTGAGAATGTTCAGCTTGGAGAGGAGGATCTTATCAATGTGTATAAATAGCTGAAGGGAAGGTGCAAAGAAGGGTCTTTTTAGTGGTGCTCAGAACAAGAGGCAAAGGACCCAAACCAGAACAGAGCAGATTCCCTGTGAACACGAAGAAGCATTTCTGTTCTGTGTGGCAGAACATTGGCACAAGCTGCCCAGAGAGTTTGTGAGATTTCCCTCAATGGAGATGTTCAAAAGGAACCTAGATATTGTCCTGGCCAACCTGTTCTGGATGTCCCTGCTTGAGCAGAGGGAGTGGCCAAGGTGACCTTCAGAGGTCCTTCCCTATCACATCCTGCAGTTCTGTGATAGATATTGTAAAGAAGTAAAGACATGGACAAGGTCCTACAGATAATTTACTGGCAGTGTTGTGAGGTCTGTAAGGTGTGCTTTAAGTTCTCTAAAACAACACTAGACACCTATGTTTAAACAGCTAAGTGTGTCTTGGCAGTAATTTCTCCACCTGTTCTACTTGGTGTTGAAAGGAGGAGGTAATAAAGCAGGTGCAGGATGAGGATCCTGTTGAAGAGGAAGAAGATATTTGACTTATAGGTGTTGGCAGTGTGGTGTGTCAGATGACGCAGAAATTCCTGTAGTTCTTTTTCAAGAATGAACATTTTAAACAGTTTTTTGATTTTATTGTCTGATGGTTTGGATCATTGTAGAAGCATATATATATTTAGCTTTTACAGTGGAAAGGAACTATTTGAAGACTGTGGCCTCAAATATCAGGGTAGATTCTGGGACACTAAATAATTATGTAGATCTGGGACTTCCTCTTTCAAGAGAAAGTCTAGGTCTGCTGACCTAGATGGAAGAGTTGAAATCAAGGTTGGACACTGGTATCTTCAATCTGAAGGGCTAGGCTTGGGGTCCATTTTGGATGTGAAGTGTGCTGAACTGCAGGAAAAGTCCTTTTACTGTTGAGAGAATGTTTTCGGGATTCTACTACAAATACTCTGTAGGCACAAAATCTTTCAATCTGCCATCTCTTGCTTCCTGACTACTAGCTAGACTGAAACAAAAATCTACTGGAACAGATACCTTTTTGCTGGATTCTTCTCTGTGGAAAAATTTAGATCTGTATTTGATTTCTGCTTCCTGGCAGAAACTACGATTGACAGGACAGTGTTATTTTCAAGTTTTTCTATTAGATCAGTCCCAAAAACAGAAGGCCTAGTTCTGTCAGGAGAGTTTCAGTAAAAATCTGAAATACGTTTCACCTGAAATGTATTGATCTACAATCCAACAGAACTACATTCCCTTTGCAGTGACCCAGGGTGTTTGTCTTTATAAACGTCATAGATGTGCATCCTTTCAGAAAGGATAAGAAAGCATATGTGGAGTGCACAAGTTTCAAGCACTCTTGGAATTAAATATACTGAAAAGTATATATATATATATATATATATATATATATAAATTTTTGTTTTTGTTCATTTGTTTGTTTGAACTTCAGGTATTTTTTGCTTCTGATATCTGAAAGGCTTTAAAAATACTTTTTTCCTCCATATTTCAATTAGTCTCAAATAGCCAAACTGAAGTGTTTCGTAAAGGAAAAAAATAAATAAATTGCATATGAGAGTAGAATGAAATGTTTCAGATTGAAAGGTTTAATTTGAATAAATTATTCGCAACAAAAGGCAGATGTGCTAAAACACATGCATGAATTATTTTTCCTCAGCCTAGTTCTGAAAGCCATTTTTAGTAGATAGCTCTTGCTGAGTTTTGTCTGGGAGAGGGCAACTTTTTAAAGCTACTTCAGCATTTCAAATGTAGAGACACCACTTTCAGATATGTCTCAGAAGTTGTTTAGTTTCCAGAACTCCTCTTAGCTCTAGCACCTAGCCCTCCAGGATTCAGCCAAGACCTTCCCCCTGCAGGGGCTACGGAGCATCTGGAGAAGGTCTTTTTAAGGTGCTCAGCTTTGTCTTAAAGCAGAGAACTCAAAAGACTTTAAAAAACTCTAAAAATACAGTCGTTCTGGTTTGCAGCCCTGATGGCAGGCATTAAATCTGCCTGGGGGACTGGTAGTACTCTGAGATGAACTTCTCTCTTTGTCTATGTCAGAAGACTTGCAGCAGTGGCACGCAGGAGGCAGCACATGGTGAGAGGCACTTCTGCTTCCTTCTTCCCTTGAGGTTATGTAGCTGTTATAACAAAGAGGATCAGTTCTCACGCCAGACTCCAGCTCTGTCCCGTGTGTACTGCTAGGCAGGCTGCTGCTGTGCACTCTGCGTCCAGTCAAATGGCAAGAGAAGAGGGGCTGCTTTTACTCCCTTGTATGAATGGCTGCTCTCAGGGCCCTGTTACAGTTGAAAAGCTCAAGGGCACATGGTTCTGATAACAGAGCAGTGAAGGGCAAGCATGGCTTTGTTGTATGCCAAAATGCATTCAGGGGAGATAGCTTTAATATTTCTGTGAGAATGGTGTGCTTAACACTCTACAAGCTTGAGAATGCTGGTATTTGGCTAAAATCAACGACATGTAAAACCCAACATAGGCCAGTCTTTCCCTTTTCAAAACAAACAAACAAACAAACAAACCAAACCCAACCAACCAACCAAAAAAAAAAAAACAAAAAAAACCCCCAGCCCCTCCCAACAAACAAACAAACAAAACAAAACAAAAAAAACAAACCACAGATAAAAAGAAGTCAAAAATAGCACAAAACAGCAGCTTCAAACATGCAGGAAATACCAATTCTAAGGGCAAGACTATAGTAGATACGCCGCCCTGGCAGCAGGTGATAGGGTGACCTTCTCCTTCAGACCAAGGATATTCAACACTGCCACATAAGTGACTGTTCCTCTACATATCTAGTCCATATAACTCAGTTTAGACATACATTTAACACCAGATTACTGTGACACCCATCCATACGCTCTTGAAAGATTCAAAGAATGAATAAATCTTTCAAAATTTACTGCATGATGTTGAAATTGGTAGGAAGTACACCCGTACCTTGCTACTTTGCTGACTGTTGTATGGCTTCTCTTTTCCAAGGGTCTTTAAAAGCTATTGCATTCAAACACCTTATGACTTTAATTCTGCGCTTACTCAGTCTTTAGGCTTTCTCCACTGCAGGCATTTGATGATGACTGTAGGGTGTGGTTTTGGAAATCCACAGACTGGTATGTGCATAACATTCCCTTATTCATATAATTTTATTGCTGTGTTCATAGGGAAGAATGTATGGTCAGGTGATATCATTAACTTTAGGATTATTAGCAATATTATATAGCTGTAAACACTTCCATAAACATCAAAAATTTATGAGGGCTGTGCAGAAAATAATGTCTTCTCCCTTATGATGCCAGCCCACAGTGTCTGAGGCAATGTTCGTGGCACGGCCGTAGAGGTAGAACTTTCCCACTGACATCCCATCATACTTTCCTGCTGTGACGCAGAATGGTGTCTGACACGGAAATGCATATGAAACAAAGGTGTGTCTTTGAATTTCTCCATGTGGAAAAAAAGTTACCTATTGATATTCATTGATGCTTGGGGAACATTTATAGAGACAAATGTGAGCACAGTAAGGTGGTGGGTGGTGCATTTCAGCAGTGTAAACGATGACAGTGGGTCACCTCTGCTGGTGTAGAGTATTACAAATGTGGCATGAAGGCTCTTGTTCATCGCCATCAAAAATGCAGAGCTCATGGTGGTGGCTATGTTGAAAAATAGTGTTTAGTAGCTGAGAATTTTCTCTGTTGAATACTGTCATTATGCTCTTTGCACGTATTGTATTTTCTATGGAGACAAATAAGAGACATTACTTTCAGAGCAACCTACGTAGTAACTATTTCCAACATTCAAGGCAATGCAAGATGTATTGAATAAAACCTGAGATAAATAAAACTCCCAGAAAATTGCAAAGAAAGAACTGTTTCCTACTCTTCCGCAGGAGATGCCACATCTACCCCTCTGCCCCATCCTGTGTCCAAGCCCTGAAAGACTGTCTCAATTTCAGATGGAAAATAATATGCTCCTGAACTCATACTTGGCTAGGTGATTAATTTTGAGTATGTGAGCAGGATATACTAGCTTTTTGTCAGAAACAAAAGAATGCTGCTTTTTCAAGACTGTAGGGATTTAATTCCCTTCCAACTCCTAAATCAACTGGCAGCAGAAACTTCCTTTTTCTTTATGTTTTATTTACCTGGTCTCCAGGGACCTCAGTTTTATTTGTTCTAAAAGTTTCAACAGAAAGTGACTCAGTTTTCATTTTCAGCAGAAACCTAGCTGGCACGTACCAAATGTCTGTTGTTAGTCAATTGGTACATTAACCAAGGTGTGTTATATTTGTTCTTTAACCTGTCTCTTTTCCAGTGCATCTTTCAGGAAAAGTCAGGGGAATATTACATTCTCTAACAAAGATTAGGAGGGGTTTTCTCTCCAGAAATGAACTGAAAATGCATGGTGTCAAAATCCTCCATTACCTTTTTGGGAAATAAGAAATGAAAATAATAATCTACCTGTGATTCTCCCTTCACCCTTTTGCTTCTTACAGTCCATTTGGGTCCAGATTCTTTTTGCAAGGAGAGGTAAAAACACATTTCCTAAAAAGCCAAGGACTCTGTAATCTAAGAAGATTTACAGAGGAGACAGATATCCTGAATATCTGCATACTTGCAGCTGAAAGAACAAGGGAGTACTTAAGGAGAAGAAGGCAAGGAAAACAGGCCTTCATCTAAATCTGATTGAATCTTTCAACTTTGAGAAGTTTGTGTTGAATTTGGCTGGGGACTGCTTCACAGGATCATCACCAAGAAATACAGTATTGTCAATATTAACAACCAAAGTACCAGTCTTGTGACACCTAACTAAGTTCTTGTCCCTGTCCCTTTGTCAAAATTTTGACTTCCAAGAAGCAACAAAATGAACTTGTAGACTTTGGGACTGACAGGTGAGAACATGCTCTTCAAAGGCAAGTGGAGCAGTGAGACCTAAAGGGACTCAACTGTGGAAAAATAAATAAATAAGTAAATTAATACATTACTCTGATTGTAGCTGGCACTTCCGTGGTTCTATTCTGCTCACGTTTCTGGGTGAGTAATCTTCATTTCCTGCTTATGTGTTGCCAAATGAAATAAATGTTAACCTTCAAGATAAAACAAGAACCCACATACTGGACTTTGTACCTCTGACAGATATTTCTGATATGGAAATATCTGTCCCAGTAGGGCAGCAGCTCTATCAGTATCAAAATGGTGAGTTTCAGTGCCTAGCCTGCTGAGGAGTGCAGCTCACGGAGAGTTCCTCTGGAGTTTCCCGGTGCACTTGGAAATCATACCATATACCAGTATGGTTAAGATGCGGAATGACTCGTTTATTGTTTAGATCAGTGTATTTTTATACATGCTAGTATTAGCAGCACTTGTAATTGCATTTCCATGGTTACATTCACAAAAAGTTTCGGTTCCAGATGCCATTCTGGAACGGACATTATCATGTGCCTGCCCTTGTTACCAACTCCCTCAACTTGGCTTAATCAGAGGTACCATCCCTGAGCCCACATGCTGTTTTGCTCGCTGTTTTGTTGGTGGTGTCCTGACTCTAGCATTTTTTCTAACAGTGCTCCTTTAATCTGCCAGACCAAGGCTTTGTTCCAACTTCATTCGCAAGCGCTGCACAACAGGAAAGATGCAGTGATATACTTAGTATTGGTTACAGGGATTGCAGGACTTTGAGAAACACTGATGACAGCTATAAGACCTGAGTTTTTTCTGTTTCCAGAACAGCTGCTGAGCAAAGAAGTGATGGACTGTGGAGATATGTGGGGACCTCAGCTCTCCTGAGCAAACTTTGCTAGCAAACAGGAACTGACTTCAGAAGAAAAGTTGTCTAGAGTTTCAAGTCAGAAGATGCCATTTAACAACAATCACTGCTTCCAGTGAGAGCTCCTCACTGAAGCCAGCTGAAATTTCAATCTGTTCTTCAGTGTATTTTTCCATAGTTTTATTTCTCTTCTTTACTTGGACATAAATGATGGGGAAATTCCTGTCCCAGTGGACAAAGGAGAATTTTTGCACTTTCTCTGTTAGGAAAACAGAGTGCTTCATGCAAAATACTACTGAAATTTCTGGAAACGTTTGCTTGCTTAGAATTAAGTATGTGCTAAAAACTGTAAGACACCAATGCAATAGTTTTCTCCTCCTTGATTTTCTTAATTTTCTTTTCAGATATTTACTTGTGTCCATCTTCTCTGCTTTGACTATTCCCACTTGTAGATGTGTACATTTGCTGTTCATTCTAGGTTTTACTAATAGGATGTTTCCAAAGATGTTGATCCCTATAATGCAAGACATACAGAAAGTTTAAGGCATAGCTCCTACTTCAGACAGCAAACAGATCTTATACCAGAGACCATCGAGTGGATAGGCTAGGTGAGGATGGGAAAATGAAGTAATGTGTGGCTTGGCAGGAAATGTCACAGCTCTTCTGCAGGAAGCAATGGAGACAGTGAGTAGCCTGTGTAGAAATAGAGCAGAAGGATCTGCAGATGCTGCATTTTGTATGGTCTGCTTCCACCTCTGGGCAAGGTGCTACAACACTGCTGTGTTCACCAGCCCGTACTGCTCCCACGCGCTGAAGCATTTAATAAATGGCTCTGACTGCAGCTGTCACTGAAGGCAGTCTTTCCACTCCTTTGACCACTAGCTCTCAGTAGACAATTACTGTACTCAGTGAGTTAAAAATAAATACAATGCAGTCTGAGGACACCTTCTGTTTCACACAAGTAATAGGTATTGAATCGATGGCAGTCATGCAGATGAATTTTCAATGCAAACCAGTTCTAACTGGTATTTAAAGATCATTATTTCTGTGCAAATATTTGTTTAAAAGTTTATGTGTAATGTCCGGTACTGAACACGTCTTTTTGGCTTTCTGTCAGCTTTCTGCTGACAATGCAGAGAGGTGAGATGGTGTTCAGGCCTCATCTGGACAGGCACTGTAATTTCAGCTGCCAGTCCAACTGTGTGAGCAGCAGTCTTTCCTTGTTTCCCATGCTGGTGCTGGGGTGATGGGCAGCAGGCTGTCAGCTCCTCATTTGTGCTGATGAGAGCAAGGCCATGTGCAACAGTAGGCTGGCTGTCCAGACTGGTACAACCCAGACACAGATATAAATGTTGCTTGCTTCCCAAGATTGCTGAATTGCATCTTGGTGAAGAATTCAGGCTGAGGCTGGGTTTTCAGGCTCATTTTATCTCCAGGGCCTGTGCTTTCCCTTTTTTTTCATCTGCTCCTGTGTTTTTGGTTTGCCATTTGATGAGCTTTTTTTTTTTACTGGGACTATCTTCCTTTTTCACATAGACCTCCACTACAGACTCCCAGCTCATTTGAGGTTCCAATAATATTTTTGGGTGATAGCAGGATGGAGTCCTAATCTCTGAGCAAATAGTTTCTTTTCAGCTTGTGCACCTGTAGGACCAAACTTTTAGTGGACTGAGGATTTATGAATATTACTAGAAACTGAATATTTCACAGTGAATGCTAACTCACCCTCACAAATCATCTGCAATTTTTATTTTAATATGGTGGCCAAGCTGAAGTTTATTTTCATTTAAAGTGACAGAATATTCACCAAATAAAAAATTCCACCTTGTTATACCTGAGGTCCTTAAAAAGCTTGTTTATCTAACTTTGATTTGTTTAAGATTCAGGTGAATTTAAAAAGTGATCTAAAATGTAAATGGATTTTTTTTTTAAAGCCATGAATATCTGACAGGAAAAAAAAAAGTCTTTCTCAAAGACTAGATTTGCATTTGAGCAAATGATTTGTTTCACTGAAATCTTTTCCTTTTTTAGCAAAAATTTTTCAGTTAGTTCTTTTTGTTTCACTCTGCTCTTCAGCTGGGGCTTAAAAAACGTTCATAAGCTCCTTCTGGGAACAGCTGCTAAAACCCTGCCTGACAAATTTGGCTTCTTCAGCTATATTCTAGTTTCTATATATTCAGGGAGGATGATGTCATGCTGAAAGCTCTCTCTCAGCAGTGGAAAAAGTTATGTACATGTAACCAACCAACCCAAACCTATGCCTCTGTCCCACAGGATTTGCAGTCCTCAGGAGATGAAGCCACAGAACATGATAGAGGGAGGCCAGAGAAAATTCCAGTGGCTAAGGCTGTTTGCGGAAAATGTAGAGACTTGCAGGACACAGCCAGGATATCCACACAGGCCTTATCTCCCTCCTCCTGTAGTCAAATCCCAGACCTATGATTCTGTGATTCTATAAACACTGTATCTAGCAACCAGGAACTATTGGTGTCAGTAAAATCTGTGAACCATTGTGCTTGTTGGCACAGAGTGCTGCAGAACTCTACTGGTAGAACAGGTTTACTTGCCTCTTGACTGCTCTGCGAGGGAGCAGTCCCAGGAGAGTTCTGCTTGTTGAGATTCTGAGATTTAAGGGAGATAATGCTGTAGGTCATGCAGAAGCTATCACCAGCTCCACTGTCATTGCTGGGTCTGGGAATGGAGCTCCTTTAGGAAATGATCTATGCTCCTGCAGTGCACATCCCACAGGAGTTTTACAGCCTTGCAGCAATGTCAGAAGCTAACTGTTGTCCCCCTAGTGCTGGTAATGATGCAAGCTGCTGCATCATTAACACCATACCAATGTGTATTCAAATAATCAAGACTAATGGGAAGTCTGGAAGTCCCTTGCACCATGGGATGAGACAGGGAATAAGTCAGCTAAGGATTTTAAGTATTAGGATCTTTGTGCATGTCAGATTCTCTAAGAAATTTACTTACTGATAATTAACCCAGATACTATGTGCTACAGAATATTTTAATGTAGAACGCTTCTACATGGATTGCAGTCTGTGATTCAGAAAAGGAACTGAAGAAGAAACATCCATCTACCCTCAGAAGTCCATTCTTATCTGTGCATTGTACTCATGTTCTGCTGAAAGGGTTCCACTAAATGCAGCTTATAAACCATTGTCTACGCAATGTGAGTTTGTTTACAAATTTTACTTGTGGAAGTGAACATTCAGTTCCTACTAAGAAGAAACTGGTCAAAACTGGACATCTTTGATACCCGAGTATTTAAAAATTCTCAGAAAAAGAAAAAAAAATAAAACCAGCAATTTTTGATCCTTTGCTTTGAAAAGTATTTTCAGTTCAATCTTTTTTTTTTTTTTTTTTTTTTTTTGAGATTTCTCTGCAGCCATGAAAAACAAAACAGTAATTTTTCATTAGTAAGGAGCAAGTCAGATGATGTGACTCCAGGATTTGGTACTTTAGGAAAAAATGCAGTGGTTGCCTGTATAGTTAGTTGAATCTTCCCCCTTCAAACAGTACCACAGTGTATATTTGAGGCTCCATATCAGGCTCCTGGGATGGTGTGAATTGTCTGTTCAGGGGGCAGCATTTCTCAGAGGCTGGTTGTTTAAACCACAAATAAATTGACTCTGCACAAGGCATTTCTTTTTTATGCACAGGGCGGAAATTCCTTTTTGACTGTGATAAGAGCCAAACAATCTCTGTCATGTTCCCAGGGCTAACTGAATGGAAAGCTGGGGTGACCTTGCCCTAGTAGGATCGCGCTCTGCAGGAGAAGGGAGCATAGTGCCAGCTTTCCCTTATACTTCTTCATATCGCTCAGACAGAAACCCACTCCTGTTACTACACTGAGATTGCCTCTGTGCACTATCTCACTGAAGACAGTGCCACATCCTGGGCATGAGTGCAGGGGTTTAAGGAGATGTCAGAGAATAGCTGGACTCTGCCCTTCTGCTCCTGCCTCCTCTCTTCCTCCCTGGCAATTTTGTTCTTTTTTCAGTCTTGAAGGGGAGGGAAAGGACTTTTACCAGCAAGGTGAAATGCCCTCCTAAATGTCTCTTAGTAAGGGGAAAAAAAGGTAGCCCTCTCTGTTCTGGGTTAAGGCCAGCACTACAGTTGTCACACAGGTGGAGTGTGGATGGCAGAACCTCTACCACTAAAGCTGAACCTGCTTGGGACTGCAGACTGTTTCCCTCAGTGACTCTTGTTCCAATCTTTTGGAAGAGAGAAACAGTAGACTGAAAGACTGCCTCCACTCCTTTCATCCTGCAGTCAGAAAATGGGTGATGGATGACATCTGGGGACAGTTTTCGCCCTTGTAATGGCAAACACAAGCAATCTTGGCACAGCAGGTTGTGATCATACCCAAACTACCAGAGCATGTTTGGATTGGTGTCTGCAGTAAGAAAAACAGTGAAGACTTTGAATTTGCAGAGGTGTAAATAGTGACACAAGAAATTTGTCTCTAAAATGAAGTGAACATGTTGTGTGATTTGACCAAAACATATTAGCAGTGGATCTGGGATTTCTCCAGGAGCTTACACATCCATCCAAGTCCAGTGAAGAATTTATGAGATCATGCAAACATGACTTGTGCTATTTCACTGGAAGTCTCCAACAGAATTCTGTTATTGCTGCACTGGATTCTACAGATACACATAAACAGCCCTTTCATGTACTACTTCCTTTCCAAAGAGGAAAACAAAAAGGGTGGGAAATGACAGGATGGATGAAAAAAAAAAAGGGTGGGAAAAGGCAGTCATGTAAAGCCATGGAGAGAGAAAGCTGTTTGCCTCAAAAATTACGTAGTAGTATCATGTCCTGCTTTTCTAGATTTCAGTCATCAGCTTCTCTGTTGAACTATGATTCCTAATACCTTTGTGCTAAAATTATATCTGAAACCAAAGAATTACACCTATCTTTACAAATCAGTTCTGCTTCTGAATCAAATCATTGCACTTGGTTTCTGTCAGGCCACTTTTGTAGTGGGAAACCTGAATGTCACTGTGCATTGGCTAGCCAGGAACAGAAGTAAGTGGCCTTTGGCTTTTTGATATTTTTCTTTACCACTGAGGAGAGCTGGCTAGAATGTTTTTAGCAGAGTAGTGTTGTCTGGGAAAGACAATTTTGAAGGAGTGATTCGTGAAATTGTTGCAGTTTTAACAACAATTTAAGATTTTTTTTTTTAAACTGTCCCTAAAAGTTGGGATCACTACTGTGGGTTAGTTTTGTTTGGCCATGTCCTTTGTAGAAACAAGTCAAGACAGACTGGTATTGTAAGAAGGTGATCAGAATCCATAGAAACTAAAAAAATCCTTGAATTCCAAAAAAATGCTTTCCAACTTAAGCTGAGATGAAAGCTCTCCATTTTAAACTTGAATTACTACCAGAACTTTTCTCTCCTCTGTAGGTCTGAGTCCATATAGCTGGGTACCCTGAAAACCCACCTGTCTTCCCAGAAATGAAGAGCCAGCAACATCTTTCATGCCTCACTTTGGGTACATCAACAGTGAGTCTGTAATAAATGTCACAACTTTGAGAGAAATATGTATCACAGATTTATGTTTTAATACTTCAAAAGCTCAAAGTCCCTTGTCAAGGAGAGAAATTCTGAAGCAAGACTTGCTGTTTCTTTCTTTCTTTCCAGTCTTCTGCGCTGTGTCCACATAGCATCAATATTTCCTTCCTTGACAAAATGTTGCAATAGCATTTATCAGGCAGAAGGTGAGTTTGTCATTAGTTATCTTGCCTTGTTGAAAGCAAATGAGCTAGATGGTGGATGTTGGATCTGTTGTGCTGGTAGAGCCAAGGCAGTATTTCTAATATGACAGAGGCACTGACATCTCCCTAAGGTGTCTGGCTATACCAAGAGTTATTTCTGATGCCTGACACTTGTGCACTGAAGCTAGGCTTCTTCAAGAGATTACAAGAATTTTGGGGTTTAAACTAAACTGAGCAGAGATAATGTCAGAGTATGGGAAGGAGATCTCTTGCTGCACAAAGGAAATGATTTGTTAATTGTTCTTTGGTGCACACTGAATCACTGCACATGACCCACACTTTATCATGTGCTTCTTTTCCTCTTTTCAAGGAAAAGCACCAAATTTCTCTTATGTCTAATTAAACTAAATTTGGAAGGCAAAATGACTAGCCATCTGGAGCAAGGAATAAAGCTAACCTTTGCAGGCAGGACCACAGGGTTTATGCAGGGTTTAACCATGAGAAAAGCATACAAGGCTGATTTCTCCCGTTGAAGAGGAAAGGTGGCTGCTACCTACGTGGCAGCATGAACATTTGTTCACATACACATGAGGGAATGTGGGACTATTTTTGTAGGGGAGTGAGGCTGTGGACAGGATCTAACCTCAGTTTGGCAGGTACAGAGAAACTCACAAGTTCTCGAATGCCAATTTGTTTTTCTGATGTTGGGCTATGCTTCAGGGAGAATGGGGTTGGTTAGGTCCCTCAGTTTGCTATCATGGGAATGTGAGCAAAGGACATAAATCAGCTGTGTTCAGTGCAAAAAAGGCTCCCACATG